CTCTCTCACACACACACACACACACACACTCTGCCAGCCTCACTCTCGAAAACTGCGATCCTTTGTCCTGTGCTCACCCTCTCCACCCCTTGATTACTTGCCCCGCATGCCGTTGTGGCCTTGATCTGTCATGCTTGAAGAATTGCGCACGTCAGCCTTCTTTGCTGATGACATGTCAGCAACATGCCATGTGTCGTCAATGTTTCCCGGAAGCTGTCATAGAAAGTATGTCTCTACTGCTTGGGCTATCCCCTCTCTTGGCATGTCCCACATGCGGGGTTGGTCATTCACCTACTCAAACCGCAGTTGGAATTCCTTCTTCCTTTGACGAACGAAGGGCAGAGCAGCCTGAGGAGGAAAATAGATTACTGTATGAACCACCTACAGAGCGCTGTACCAATAGATTGTCTCCACCAGGGCGCGCTGTTGCAGACCAAATCCTGCAGCAGCTGAACGCCCTTGCTTTGGATCAATCTCCCCCGTTGTCGTCCACCCATAGAGAAGGAATAAATGCTGATGAAACCCAAGAAACTTTCGCCATGCCGCTTTGTGATGACCCACTGGAGATTCAGCTAGCATGTGGTTCGCATTCCTTGCCGTGAGGATTATGATGGGATAACCCAGGTGAGTTTTCGTCTTAATACGTATGATGACAGTCTGTACTGCACTCATGTACGGCACCCTGACATGTCATGTCCAATTTGTAGACACAGGCTGGAACGGAAATGCCTCTACAATTGCGGTCAACGTGCCTCTGTGTTCCTAGCATCTAGGAGCCACGTAGCCTGTGACATGTGTCTATGCCGTGCCATTCGATGCAGTAACTGTGACTGTGAGGCTTGGATGCGGTGTTTCCACAGGTCACACCCAAACCGGTCCTGGCCAGTCTGTCGAGGTGGCCACTTACCTTTGGCAACAACTGCTCCTCAAATCTTATGCAACCCTGCCCAGTCTGTAGAGGTGGCCACTTACCTTTGGCAACAACTGCTCCTCAAATCTTATGCAACCCACACAATGACGGGCCTCATGTGTCATTTTAGAATGGTCTGCCCAGCGGTCACTATTTAGAACCCTGTCGGAACTCCACCTCCCATTTCCTTCCTCCCTCCTCTAGTGTATTACTAGTAATACATACGAATGAGCATCATTACGAGAACAGACAAAATATAAGTTGGAGATCTGAGAAGAAATGAACAGGAATATACCTCCGCCTTTGCCTTGCCTCCTTTCATAGTGTGCAAGTGGGCCGTTATGGCACACGGGGATGTCGGCAGCTTGCGCTCAACCACAATCAACGTGGCGAGCATTGTGCATGAGAGGCACGGTAAAGTGCGAGCTGCAAGAACAAATGAAAGTGGTACCCCGAAGAAAGCAAATGTGTACACATTCAGGAAAGTGGTTTACATGCTTCCATTGTACTTCCATGTTCCTTGCTATAGAGCTGAAACTGTTTCATTGTTGGGTTGTCTGAACTCAAGGGCTTTCGCTGTCTGTAATAGGATTGACTGTGGTTTGATTTTGGATCTGAATTAGCTGCAACAGGCACAGATTCAGACAGACAGACTTCCACGGACTAGCGATCAAACTGTACAGACCTACGAACCTAAAAGTAACGCCAGCTTTCTGACAACCTGAATCTAAACTAAGGCCTGCACGGTACATCCTAGTGAATGGTGATACGGTACAGTGGGAAAATGGGACTCTGGGACTTGACTGGAGGCACTGAGATTCATGAATCCTTTCACAGTCCTTTCTTTGCTATATTTACTGTGGCTTTCTGTGGGGTTTCAGTTTTATCCCTTCTTGCTATGGCTCCAATGCACAAGCTCCCCAGATCCATGTGGGCCGTAGCAGGCTTTCCTTTGTTTCTAAACTCCCCCCCTCCCACCCCCCCCTTTTCATCCCCTCCTCCCACCCCTTGTGTCGTACTACTAAGTGCATATGAATTAACATCATTAAGAGACCACACGAAATATAAGTTGAAGATCTGCAGAGAAAGGAACAGTAGTAGTATACTAAGTGCGAGAGAAGGTTAACAACAGTGATATTTTTCATCACCACTTCAGGACACCCTTCACCACTTCAGGGTGCAGCCTTCCTAAACAGGTGGTTTTCAGGGTCTTCGGACCTTTCACCACTTCAGGCCCATTCAAGTTTGAAAATCCTGAATGGTCCTGAAGTGGTGAAAGCTCCGAAGACCCTGAAAACCACATGTTTAGGCAGGCTGCATCCTCAAGTGGCGAAGGGTGGTTTTCATGGTCTTCGGACTTTTCACCACTTCAGGACCATTCAGGATTTTCAGACTACCCAAAACTTTCACTTGACCACTTAAGGACACCCTTCACCTATTCAGGATGCAGCCTGCCTAAATAGGTGGTTTTCAGGGTCTTCTGACCTTTCACCACTTCAGAACCATTCAGGATTTTCAGACTGCCTAAAACTCTCACTTCAGAATTTTCATTCCTAAATTTTCAGCTACCCGATAACCGCTTGTGTTCCACTGCCCTCCGCCAGCGCTCACCTCCACCCCCTCTACCACCGCTTCCCCACCAGCGCACCTCTACCTGTGCTCCCCTGCACTCCCCTGCAGTCCCCTCCACCAGCGGCTGCCCCTCCGCTAGCAAAAAGAATAAAGTTAGGCCCGCACTCTGTGTGTGTGCGTGTGTGTGTGTGTGTGTGAGAGAGAGAGAGGGAGAGAGTTCCCGCCGACATTGAAAGAAAGAAAATGCTCGATCGCGCGCGGGGTTTCTTCCTGCTGTTGCTAGAAAAAAAAAAAATTGGGCGCGCAAAGAGAGAGAGAGAGAGAGAGAGAGAGAGAGAGAGAGATGGTCACCCCTCTCCCCCCCATCAAGTGTAGGATCTGCTCCGAACAGTTTCATAACCGATCCGTGGTCCATCGATGCCTTTTTTCCC